AAGGGAAGGGCAGAGGGAGAGAGGGAGGGAGAGTATGTTAAGCAGAGTCTGCACTGAGCATGGAACGCAGGGCTCAGTCTCACAGCCCTGAGATCAAAACCTGAGCCAAAAGCAGGAGTTGGACGCCTAACCAACGGAGCCACCCAGGTGCCCCTTAGTTCTTTAAAATATGGATTCCTAGGCCTCAATATAGACTGACCACATCATACTCTCCAGGAGTTCATTTAAGAATCTGTCCAGGTTTTTTTTTTTAACTTGGTAATGAATTTTACATACAGCCAGTTTTGGAAATCACTCTAGGCCTTAGTTCCCAGTCTGACCAAAAAGAGTATCTGTCATCCGTATAACTGACTGCACCTTGATAACCTTATCATGGATAGCAGGATTGTTCCATATTACCTCTCCATCAGAAAGGATGAATACCCAACTTTTGTATCGACGTGGATGGGACTGGAGGAGATTATGCTGAGTGAAATAAGTCAAGCGGAAAGAGTCAATTATCATATGGTTTCACTTATTTGTGGAGCATAACAAATAACATGGAGGACAGGGGGAGTTAGAGAGGAGAAGGGAGTTGGGGGAAATTGGAAGTGGAGGTGAACCATGAGAGACTGCGGACTTTGAGAAACCGAGGGTTTTGGAGGGGAGGCGGGTGAGGGGCTGAGTGAGCCTGGTCGTGGGTATTATGGAGGGCACAGACTGCATAGAGCACTGGATGTGGTGCATAAACAATGAATCTTGGAACACTGAAAAAATAAAGCTAAAAAAAAATTAAGAAAAAGAAGGATTGTTCCATGTGACAGCGCTCTAGCATGGGCTCCAGCCAGCCAGGCTCTACCGACTGAGCAGCCAGGTGCCCCCATAATGCAGTTCTTAATTACAGCATTGATACACTATAATTAGGAGTATGGTTTAAAAATTCTTATTCACATGTGGTTTTAGGAACCGTACTGTGTCTTTGTGTTTCAAGTTGCCTGCTTTCTGGACTCGGTCATCTTGCCCATGTTATATTTATGTAACACTTTTTCCTGCACGATGCTGTTAAAATCTCGTGCTCCTGGCCAAGCCAGTGCCATGAGGAACCAGTACATTTAGCGGGACTAGGTTCTTTTCCTTTTATAGTGAATGGAAGAATGATGTTTAAACGTCCTTAAAGGTGTCACATACTTGGGGGCGTTGTTTTGTGGAGGTGTGCTGGCTTTGTATGTGGTTAACGAAGCATCATGTTCAGATTTCAGTATTTGTTGAAGGAAAGTGGCCTTGGAGGTTCTCAGTCGGCTTTGTGCTATCGTGTCACTAGGTGGAGATGTAGCGCTGTTCAGTGGTGTAGCCAAAGCGAAGAGTGAGGCTTGAGTTCTTGTCTCTTTACAAGACTGCTTTGCACATATTTGATGAGGTTTCTTCTACTCTAGGGAAAAACTTGTAAATTTGGTATGATTCTGAATTTTTTTTTTATTAGAGTTTAAAATCAATCCTGCTTTAATGTCTGTTTTCACACCGATCAGCTCTGTTTTAAAAAATATTGTTTCCTCTTAATAACGTGTCCTTTGTCTATCCCTCGTTGTTTCATCTTGTCATCGTTATTCTAATGTCCCTGTGACTGTTTATAGTGGTTTAATTCTAAAAGTCTAGTAATATAACTAGAATTTTTATTCTGGGGTCAAATATTATATAAAATTTTAATTTGGCAGCAGTATGAGGTAAATGAACCAAAATTTGTAGTCTGAACATACCTGAATCTTATTTTTATATTAGTTTAGGCTGCCAGGGCCTAATTTTTATATATTTAAATTCAGTAGGGGTCACTTTTTCCCTCTTTCTTTCTTCTGTTCCTCTTGAATCTTAAGTGTCTATGCACACTATTGATGTGGGGGATTTTAAAAAAGTACAAACCTGTTTCCGAAGAGCTGGTGTCCAGTTGAGAACATTGCAAACACACCTACAGAGGATTTTAAAGTAATCTGAATATCTGATCTTTAGAAACTGTGAAGGTGGAACTTTAAAAAACAATCTCACTTTGGAAAAGATTCTGGCTGTTCCTCAAATGTTTAAACACTGTGATACCTTATGATCCAGCAATTTTCCTCTCCTAGGTATACATTCAAGGGAAATGAAAACATATGTTCACCAAAAAACCTGGGACAAGAATGTTCATAGCAGCATTATTCATAATAGCCACAAAGTGGAAACAACCCATTTGGCCCTCACCAGATGAACGGATAAACAAAACATGGCACGTGTGCAGCATGGTACCATTCAGCCATGAGGAGGAATGAAGTACTGACCCACGTTGAGACACGGGTGACCCTTGGAGACACTCTGCTAAGTGAACGCAGCCAGACACAAAAGGCCACATATTGTGTGATTCCACTGTGTCTAGAAAGCAAACCTAGAGAGAGAAAGGAGACCCATGGTTGCCTAGGGCTGGGTGGGGGGAAGCCACGGCAGTGGTCACGGAGTCTCTTTCCCGGGGATGACGTGACGTTGATGGTGGTGATGGGGGCATGGCTGTGCACCTGTGCTAAAGACCACTGAGTTGTGTGTACACTTTAAATGGGTGACTTGCAGGGATATGAGAATTCAATCTCAGTAAGCCTGGTTTAAAAATAAACTATCAAGAGGCTTAACATTTATCCCAGGAAGGACTATGTACTGACCATCTAATTGGTATATACTAAGTTCTGTAGGAGTTACAAACTCAGTGTAAGACAAACCCAGTAAGACAAACTGCTTCCAGTTCAAAAGAGGCACCCGTGCAGTCTATAAGAATGCACTTTTGCTTTCTGAATGTTTCCTGTCTTTCTGGACGTAATCGCCTGAATTCTCTTCCAGCTGTTTCTTTAATAGCCCTGATCTTCTTACCCTATGTCTTTTTTTTTTTTTCCTTTCAAAAGCAAACTGTTGCTACTCAGACTTTGATAAATATCAGCCCAATCCTATGAGCTTTAGCTAACTTAAAGGACATTTTTAAGCTACGGCAGTGTTCCCAGTAACTTAGAGTGTGTGGTTCACGGAAACCCATTCGTTCAGCAAATACTGATATTTCATTACAAGTAATTGGCAAATCTTAAAACTTTTGGCATTATTATTTTTAAAAAAGATTTTTTTAAAGATTTTATTTATTTATTTGTTAGCGAGCGAGAGAGAGAGTGCGCGCGAGCACAGGCAGACAGAGCGGCAGGCAGAGGCAGAGGGAGAAGCAGACTTCCCACAGAGCAAGGAGCCCGATGCGGGACTCGATCCCAGGACACTGGGATCATGACCTGAGCCGAAGGCAGCCGCTTAACCAACTGAGCCACCCAGGCGTCCCTAAGAAGATTTTTAAATTCTTTTTATTTCAACTGATGAACAAACATTGATATGTTACCTTTTTAAAAAAGATTTATTTGTTTGTTTTAGCGAGAGAGCACAAGCAGGAGGTACAGAGGGAGAGGGAGAGAGAATTGGAAGCAGATTCCTTGCTGAGTGCAGAGCCCGACTCAGAGCTTGGTCTCATGACCCTGAGATCATGACCCGAGCTGAAACCAAGAGTTAACCAACTGTGCTGCCTTGGCACCCCAACATTGGTATATTTTATTAACTAAAATCTCTGGATTACATCAAGGTTCACTCTTTGCGTTGTCCAGTTCTCCTTGCTTTAACAAGTGCATAATGATGTGTACCCACCGTCGCAGCACCCTACAGAGTGGGTTCACTGCCCTCAGAATGCCCCATGCTCTACCTATTCACCCCTGCCCCTCCTACCTCCCCCTGAACCCCTGATCATTTTACTGTCTTTATGGTTTTGCCTTTTCTAGAATGTCCTATAGTTTTTAACTTAAAAAGTTTTTTTTATTATTGAAGTATATAGTTGGCCTACAATGTTACTGTCAGTTGTACAACATAGTAATTCAACAGTTCTGTACATTACTCTGTGTTCACCATAATAAGGGTAGTCACCATCTGTCGCCATGCAAATCATAACCGTAAAGAAATAGCACTTGACAGCAGTCAGAACAGCTAATATCAAATGACAAGAAATAACAAAGGTTGGTGCAGATGTGGAGAAAAGGGAACCCTCGTGCACTCTTTGGGGGAGTGTATTTGGTCCAGATACTATGGAAAAGAGTATGGAAGGTCCTCAAAAAACTAAAAATAGAAATACCATATGATCCAGTAATTCCACTTCTGGGTATTTACCCCAGGAAAACAAAGACACTGATTTGCAGATATATGCACCCCTGCTTTTACTGCAGCATTATTTGCATTAGTCAAGATGTAGAGGCAGCCTAAGCATCCATCCATAGATGAAGGGATAAAGGAGCGGTGTATACATACAATGGAATATTACTCAGCCATAAAAAAGAATGAAGTTTTGCCATTGATGGCAACATGGATGGTCCTAGAGGGTGTTATACTAAGTGAGATAAGTCAGAGAAAGACAAATACTATATGATTTCACTTACATATGAAATGTGAAAAACAAACAGACTCATAAATATAGGGAACAAACTGGTGGCTGCTAGAGGGGCGGGTGGGGGAGAGCTGAACTTGGTGAAAGGGATTATAAGATACAGCTTTCCATTTATAAGATAATTAAGTCAGAGAGGTACAGCATACAGAATATAGTCAATAATATTGTAACAACAGATACCTTTTGCTGCAATTTAGTCAGCTTCCGTGGTGTTCAAAAGTAGTCTTGAGTTCATAGATTTTCATGGAAAATGCCTTTTAGGAACATGTAAAAGCTAAACAAATGTACGCCTAGTATAGAACTAGCCATGTTGTTGTTAGTGCGACATTTTGATATTGTTGTCATCATTACAATTTTAAAGGAGGAGAAATTCTGGTTCAGTCCCAATAATTCTATTATAGCCAAAAAAGACTTGTTTTTCAAAAGCAGTAATTAATTCTGAATCCATCAGTTTAGTAGCTGTCCTAGTTTTGTTTATTTTATCTGTCTATATGCCTGTCTGCCCATATGCTTTTATCTAAAGCTAAACTTCTTTATTGCTTTGCAGATGCCTATGAAACCGCCAAGATGCTGTGTGAGCAGTATTACCTGGTCGCTCCAGAGCTGGAAGTGGAAGAATTCAATGGTAAAAGAAAAATCATTTTTACTGTACATACAAGGAAGGTGACTAAAAATCTGATGATACCTGAGCTATATTTCAGTGAGATTTCCTCACATTACACTGCTTTCTCATCTTTCTTTTCTTTTTCAAGCTTTTCTATCTCTTCGGTCTCCTAGGCATATTATGGTAAGGAGTTTTCGTACGAGTTTGTAATCTTCTCGAACTCAGAGTTCTTGGAACAGAAGTCATCAAGGTAGAAATTGCACAAACAGATGAATAGGCAGTTCTCAAAACAACAAATGCTAGGCAGTCAGTAAACATATGGAAATATGTGTTACTAGACTAATCAGAGAAGTACAAACAAAAATGGAGAAATGCCATTTTTGTCTTTTAAAATGGCAGTGATTATAATGTTGTAATACTTTGAATTGGTGCCCAGAAAAATACTCTTGACAACACTTACACATTTCTGGTATAAGTTTAAATTAGTACAGCCTTTCTCAAAAAATGCTAGCAATGTCTTTCTTGTTGGCCCAGGAAATTAAAATTCAGTAATGGTCATATTCTTTGGTCCCGTAAATTAAACTTCAGAAAGTTTATTATGTGAACGTAAAGGTGTGCACAGATGTATGTACAAGAATAACAACCACAGTGGTTTTCTTAAACAGAAAAATTAGAAAACAACCCCAGTTGTCCACGATAGAAGATATTTAATTAAGTTGTGGTACATCCATAAGATAGAATACTAAGCAGCCATTCAAAATAACGCTTTAAGGGGTGCCTGGGTGGCTCAGTGGGTTAAAGCCTCTGCCTTCGGCTCAGGTCATGATCCCAGGGTCCTGGGATCAAGCCCCATGTCGGGCTCTCTGCTCAGCGGGGAGCCTGCTTCCTCCTCTCTCTCTGCCTGCCTCTCTGCCTACTTGTGATGTCTGTCTGTCAAATAAATAAATAAAATCTTTAAAAAAACAAAAAAACAAAATAACGCTTTAAAAGAATACTGAATGTATTGAAAAAGTTGAGTTTTTTAAACACAGGCTATAAAAGTTCATTAGTGTCACGAGTTCAATGGGAAATATTTTGAAGGATTTATAGCACCAAAACAACAGCTTTCTGGGCTATAGGTGTGTAGCTGATTGTTACCTTAGTCATATGATTCTATATGTATTTGCATGTTACCTTTATTTGTAAGTTACAAGAGAGACATGCTTGTTGGGAAAATAGAAACAATACAGAATGTAGAGTAAGAACTGAAAGTTCCCTTGTTCTCTGAGGACCGGGCAGAGCTTTGTTTTTGACATAAATGGGGTTGAAACTATGCATGTTCTATAACCGGCATTCTTCACTTTGCCTTGAAGATCTTTGCATGTATTAATGTCATTTAGAGATTATCCACAGTGTAGATTGCCATTATGGAGTCATTTACCATTCAGTGGACATTTAGGATTTCTAATTTTCCCATATTTCTTTATAACGAACAGTGAAGGGTGTGTCTGTGTCTGCAGGGTGGGAAAATTTGTGAACACGTGGAAGCATTTCTGTAGGTTGGATCCCTAGAAGTGGAATGACTGAATCTTAGGGTGTGGATGTTTACAGTTAAACCAAATTCCCTCTCAAAAATATGTTAAAAATGTATTTTGCTTATAATGAGATCAACATGTGAAAAGATGTTAGGCCGTTGTTGTAGGATAGTTGCCCCTACATTCTGCCAGAAGGTATCCAAGCTGCTTTCCAAGTCTGTTGGGTTCTCTGAGAAGAGTTGTGCCCATATTTTGGATCAATACACTGCCAGAACCAAAAGGACTTCACTTGAGTATTCCCAAGTAGAAACATCTAAGTCTTCTCTCTACTTTTTCATACCGGCGAGGTGAGGCCTGACCTCACTGTGCACGTTTCTCTTTGTCAAACGCAGAACTTAAAATCGCAGTTGATAACCGATTGCTCTTTTGCATGAGTGGCAGTCTGACTCACTGTAAAGGCCAGAGCAGCTAGCCCGCTCTTGCTGAGTCCCAGGAGCCAGCTGTGTCACACATTTCTTCTCAGTGAAACTGTCACGCTGGGCAGCGCGCCTCACCAGGAGAAGAGATTAACAACTATATTTGGCACTGTCTCGTGCATGATTTTTCAAGTCCCCTTTCCCATCACTAAGATAAATGAGTGCTGCTGGTTATAGGCGACCTCTAGTTCCCTGTGGCTCTGGGTAATGTGTTTATGATTTCTCTTTACGATTTTCTGAATGTCAGAGCTCTTTGTGGATGTGGCTCAGGGCGGTGCCTTCGCGCTAACAAGTTCTGTGGTAGAGATGCAGGTCAGAGGTCAGTCCTGAACACCTTAAGTAGGCGTCACTTTGTAAAGAGTGGATGTTTCCCACAGCATGTTGCCTATCTCAGTTTTCCTGAAAGGAAAAATCCATCAGATCCAGATTCCCACAGATTCAGTTTCAGAGTCTGCTTCTTTCTCGTTGCTTCCATTACCCCACAGGCGCCTCGAACAGTAGTGAGAAATAGCACTGCCCTCCGCTGTGTGCTTGACAGCAGTGTGGCCACTGCTGACCCGAAGGAACCTCTGTTGCTTCCCGAGAATCGTTCCATTAGTTTGACATATCATCTTTTGTTCTGAATCTCTGGGCTTTTTTTCTTTGCCATCGTAGACCCCTGAGGGAAGTAGTGAATAGGACTACGGAGAACATACTTTGTGAACACTGTCACTATTTACCAGTCATCCCTAGAATTCTGGATATTGGGAGCCAGCTAAAATAAACTTTCTTTTTTCTCCATCTGATAACACTTAACAGGAGCATTAAAAATAACAGATGTGTTGGAGTGCCTGGGTGGCTCAGTTGTTAAGTGTCTGCCTTTGGCTCAGGTCATGATCCCTGGGTCCTGGGATCCAGCCCTACATCGGGCTCTCTACTCCGGGCAAGCCTGCTGCTCCCCTTGCTTGTGCTCTCTCTGTCTCTGTCGAATAAATAAATAAAATCTTAAAAAAATAACAGATGTTTATCTTCTATCAGGTTTCAGATTTTTCTGACTTGCCCCCGGTGGCAACCCATGTTGGTTTCTCCAGACAAGCATCCATTTTGTCACACGTGTTCTCATTTTAGCTTTCTTATTCTCCTGAGAAATCACTTGCCAAAACGTTAAGCAAACACACCTCTTTTCTTACCTGTTTTGGATCCTTGTGGTGAGGCAGCACGGCTCAGAGGAATGACGTGAGCTTTGTAGCTCTCCAGGTGGTGGGAGGGGACACATGGAACAACTTCCTTGTCTGTAAGATCACCTTGCCTGGTGATAAAAGGATACTGTTTCTAGGGCCTTAAATACAGCACCAGACACAAACTGGGTTTTTTTTTTTTTTTTTTTAATAAAAGGGTGGCTACTGGAAGTCAGAGTTGACTTGGGAAAGATAAAACTTATGGTTACTACTTGCATTTCTTCACCATTTCTAGAGTAGTCTTTCCTGTCGAGAGGTTCGTTCATACCTCTGCGTTTCATGGGCAACATGAAAACTTCAAGTCAGGGGCGCCTGGGTGGCTCAGTCGGTTAAGTGTCTGCCTTCAGCTCAGGTTATCATCCTGGGGTCCTGGGATCGAGCCCCACATTGGGTTCCCTGCTCAGCAGGAGGCTGCTTCTCTCTCTCCCTCTGCCTGCCATTCCCCTTGCTCGTGCTCTCTCTCTCTCTCTCTCTGTGTCAAATGAGTAAATAAAATCTTTAAAAGTTAAAAAGAAAATTTCAAGTCATACTATATATACGTTGTTATAAGAGGGTTCCCAAGGGGTGCCGGGGTGGCTGAGTCAGTTAAGTGGCTGACACCGGATTTCAGCTCAGGTCATGATCTCAGGGTCCTGGGATCGACCTGGGTCCACTGTGTCCTTTGTCCAGGTCCGTGCTCAGCGAAGAGTCTGCTTGTCTCCCTCCGTCTACTCTCGCCCCCACTTGCACTCTCTTTCTGTCTCTCTCTCAAATAAATAAATATATAAAATCTTTTTTGAAAAAGAAGGTTCCCAGGAAAAAGGTGTGTATCTATCCTGGGATCTTTGATTTCCAGCTTCCCTATATTGGATACTTTCGTGGTTATTTTTGGTCAGGGGGTTCTATACAATAGTTGAAAAGCCATTGCTGGTAGCCCTGTTAAGACCATAAAGTTAACTTTTTAGTAGTGATACTAGCCAGCATTTATTGACTCTTTACATTGCGGCAGGCTCTTTGTAAGCTAGTTTATCCCTGTTAACCCATTTAATCCTTATAGTAACCCAGTGAGGTACGTACTGTGCCCATTTCAGATATGGCACACTGAGGCCCAGATGTTTTAAATACCTATTAATGTGACTGTTAAATTCCAGAATCAGGATTAATCCCAGGATAACTTTGAACTACACTGTTTCTAATAGTCTCGTCCATTGACTTTGGGACTTAATCAATCATCTCTAAGTGCCCTTTTCTCTTAAATGCATTTCTTTTCTGCTTAGCCTCTACTTTTTTCATTCTTATAGGAGAGCTGTCTGAAAATAAAATTCTCTGTATCCCATGTGGAGTTCTGTTGGTATTTATTACATGTTGTTTCAACTAATGGTTTTTGGAGCAATGACTCTGTAAAAGAGAGACTTGATTATTTCTTGAGTCTTGAGCATGAGAAATCTGGGCCATTTTTTTCCATTTACTTTAAAAAATATACTTTAGATGGAAAATTCATATTGCATTTATGTTCTGTTTTAGAAAGTTAATAAATATCTATTAAGGGCCTACTACATAAAAGCCATTGGACCCAGGATTAGGTTAAAAGTTATGGACAAAAGCATTGGACTTGATTTTAAAAAAGGAAGGAAAGACATCTAACCTATAATGTTCTGCAAGAAAATATAAGTAATTGAGCAAGCCTACAGATGACTCCTAGAGAATGTTTGTTCAAGTGAAAAGAAAAAAATATATCAGAGATTAGATTTGGAAAAAGATCTGGAGTGAAAAGGTTGAATTCAGAAGGCTGTTTATATGACTAATCATGCCTTTTGGTACAAGATAGCCTGAGTGTTCAGCTTGTTCCTGGGGATCCATTAAAACGACAATAAAGGAATACAAAGAAAAACAGCAAAGAAATCAGGGGGCCCGTCATCAGTGGGACCAGTCACAAAGAAGAGGTTACAGCAAAGATGGAGGGACCCTGGGAGCAGAGCCAGTAGGGGCAAAGCATTGGAAAGTGAAGTCAAAAGGAGGGGTCAGTTGAAAGCTGGTCTAAGGCAGAGCACGGAGGGGTGATAGGGAACACTGGTCTTGGGCTGTGCTCTGCCTACAGTCAGTCACAAGCATTCTTCCTAGGGCAGAAATTAAAATCAGAGTACTTTTTTCAAGAATAACCTTGGAAAAAGTGGGGCTGTTCATGTACCTGTTGTTGGCCCAAAATAAAGCTCTCTTCACTGAGAATTTGGGGCACCCTCCGGTCAGAAGCCAGCTTACTGTCTGCCTACCCTAAAGTCACTTGAGAAGTCTTGACCAGATCCGTGGGGCTCCAAGTCAGCCTTCTTGTTTAGTTGAGGGGAAATGAACACCAGCTTCCTCAAATGATTTGTCTAATTCCTCATTCAACAAGAATATTACTGCCAAGGTTTATCACACCTCAGGCGACACCCAGGAGCGTGAGGAAAATCTGACTAGCATTAAACTTACCAGCTGCATTACCATGGCCAGGAGACTACCCCCTCCTTCTAAATTCTGAGAGAAAATGATTTTGAATGCAGAATTTTGTACTAAGCCAGACCTTCCAGTGAGTCAGAGGTGTAAAGACTGAGAAATGTATTTCCTAAGGGCACCTTTCTGAGGTAGGCTACTTGACTGACTTGATGCTTTATGTCATATGGACATAAGAAATAGTGAAGAACATACTAGAACTTTAATCAAAAACATTTTGAAGATGATGGTTATACGGCATGTTTGGAAGGCAATCAATTCTTTTTTTTTTTAAGATTTTATTTATTTATTTCACAGAGAGAAGGCACAAGTAGGCAGAGAGGCAGGCAGAGAGAGAGATAGAGGAGGAAGCAGGCTCTCCGCTGAGCAGAGAGCCCGATGCGGAACTCGATCCCAGGACCCTGAGATCACAACCCGAGCTGAAGGCAGAGGCCCAACCCACTGAGCCACCCAGGCGCCCCGGAAGGCAATCAATTCTAATTTGAAAAATCTTAAAGAATGAAATGGATACCATGCACTAGAATAGGAAGCTAGAGGATCTTGGTGATGTGGTGAGGAAAGCATGTTTCTTGTCCAGTTACCCAAGAAGAAGGGTAATCAGAAGCTCCAGGAAACAAAACTGTGTAAGAAGGACACAGTCCAGGTACTCAGTAATCTAAAAAAAGGGTAGCGGGATTTTAAGGAATTGGTGGAGGATTAAGGCAATCATTTCACCTTAAGGCTGAGAACATTCTTCTTCGTGTGACCAGTGAAACATGTCATTGGAATCACGGAGAAGGAAATATTGTTCTTCTACACTCTTGTGGCTGCTCTGCAGTGATCCGTATTTACCTAGTTTGATGTTCCCAACACTGTCAATTTTCAGCTTTTTTAAAAAAGATTTTATATATTTATTTGAGAGAGAAAGAGCTTGAGTGGGGGAAGAGATGGCAGAGGGAGAAGCCAACTCCCCACTAAGCACAGATCCTGATACTCAATCCCAGGACCCTGAGATCAGGACCTGAGCCAAAGGCAGACACTTAACCGACTGAGCCATCCAGGCGCCCCTCAATTTTCAGCTTTTATTTTTTTTTAAGATTATTTATTTATTTATTTGACAGAGAGAGAGAGAGAGAGAGATCACAATTGGGCAGAGAGGCAGGCGGGGGGGCGGGGAAGCAGGCTCCCCGCTGAGCAGAGAGCCCGATGTGGGACTGGATCCCAGGATCCTGGGACCATGAGCAGAGCCGAAGGCAGAGGCTTTAACCCACGAGCCACCCAGGTGCTCCAATTTTCAGCTTTTAAAAAAGGAACCTATAGACAAAATACAGAAGAGTTCATTAGGATTACAGACCAGAATGGAAATATTATCAACCGAAAGACTAAAGCAGAAGTAGTAGCAAGTGGCTACCTCTGGGTGCAGACTGGGGGGAGACGGTAGAAGGATTTTTGCTTTTCTTCTTTTTGTTTTTAGAAATTTCATTTATTTTATTTTATTGAATAATTTCAAAAGTAACTGATCATCAGAGAGTTCGGGATTCAGACTCAGAAGCTCTTGGTTCATTTGTCCAATTTCAGGCCTCTTCTGTTTCAGTAGGCGAGTCACATAGCCTCCGCAGAGCCCGTGTCCTCGCCCATAATAATGCCACCGTCCCTGTGAACCCCACTGTAGTGTCATGAGGGCTCACTTGGATTGTGCACGCTCAAGCTTCTTATCACCTTCTAAGAACCTAACAAATGTTTGCTCTACTTTATATCCCTGTTACTTATATTAGAGGAAGTAGTTAAGTCGAAATTATAACATGGGTGACTATATCTGTGTTCTACTTGAGAATGTTCACGTATTTTCAGTCTTTTACATGATTATGGGCCACGAGGAGGAAGGACCAAGTTTTCCACTTGGTCTACTCTCTATAGCCCACGTTGTTCTTAGTGCCTGACATGGGATTCAGTGTTTCTTGTGTTTTCCTCCGGAGATCCCTGATATAAGGAGAAAGGACTATGGGTCTCTGGGGGTGGGGGAGGGGTTGTCTGCCTGCTACTAGTAGAAAAGTTATGTGAACCTTAAATTCTACTCTAATATGCCTTGTTTGTGGAAATTGAACAGAGATTAACATTGCTCCTTAGTCTAATCTGCAAGAAGATGTGCCGCTTTTCCTCTGTGGCTTCACATTCCCCATGATGACCGCTGGGGTCACCACTGGGGGTGGTGTCCCAGAATTTGAAAAACACTGAGCGATATTTAGATGACTTATGTAATGCTTAGAATATTATGACATACATAATAATATTCCAGTTTTGCTCAGCTAAGGTTTACAGAGATTGAGTAACCCGCCCAAGGTCACATGGCTTGTAAGTGAAGGAGCCGGATTTCTCCCCGGGTTTGTTGGACTTCCAAGCACATGCTTTTGCTCAGCCCTGACTTTAAAGGTGGAAACCTAAATTAGCCTTTCGTGTAGAGTTCTTTTTTATGTACTTGGGAGGTAGAACGCCAGCCACATTCTTGACTTTCTTATAGTTTTTGTCCTTATTCATTGATGGTTTTTGTGTCTTTTTTCAGCCAAAGCTCCAGACAAACCTATTCAGGTAGTTTATGTGCCCTCACACCTGTTTCACATGCTATTTGAGTTGTTCAAGGTAAGTGGAATTTAAAAACACGGAAAGAAGTCTTCATTTTAAATTACTTTGATTCAGAGCATAATGGATTCTTTAGATTAGCATAAGAAAAAGGTTTTGCATAACCATTTTAAAAATTCTATTTCTGATACCCTGTGGGTTTTATAATTTGTACACTGTGAGATGAAAAATTGCTGTGTACAGTACAGTTTTCGTGAATATTAGTACATATTGATTTGGGAGCTTAATTGTACTTCAGTGATTTTATGTAAAAATCCATACTGTTTTTTCTTCAGTTTTGAGATTAGAGATGCTTTTTACTTTCCCAACCTGGCGAAGGCTTTACTGGTGGTAGCCAGATCAAAATAAATACATGTTTTTGCGTGTTTAGGTTTCTGAACGTTAAGCACTTTGGTGCCTCAGCAGTTATTTTAGTTCTGAGAGATCCCGTAACTCTTTGACGTATTTGAGTCCATTGAGAAGATCTGACGGAAGCAGAGAGGAAAGATAGGGAGGGGCTGGACCAAAAAGAGGAGCCGCCCCCCCCTTAGCCGCTCCATGAAGAAAAAGAATAAAAATCTCTTTCGACTCCACAGCTTACGTTGCTTTTGTTAATCACCAGCTCATGGCATTTATAAGAGCAGTATTATAGGCACAAGGCATTTAAGCTAAAATTTCATTTCTTCCAATGTGTAAAACCCTAAATTGAACACCTGAAAAATCAGTTATGCTGATTTGCTTCCCAAAATTATAATGTTACTGATGTAACACTTTAAGGTTGAGATGGGCATTCAATTGTGAACTTTCTCTTCAACAGCTGTGGCTTTTTGAGAATTTCTTTTTAACTGACGTTGCTTCTACTTTTTTTTTTTTTTTCAGCCAAATGATTAATTTTTGTGGGAAGCATGAATACTTTCAGGTTTTCCGCCTTATTTAGAGGAAAGGTGCTCTGTAAATGCAGACTGATAAGTAAATGCAGCCTCGTTACGTGTGAAAAAAACATTCCTCTTGGTTAAGAGTTGAATGACTTAAATACGCTAAGGCAAAAACAAAAAGAGAAAAGAAAGAAAAAAAATACTTAGTATGATGGATGGAAATAAAACTCGATGAAATCAAAATAAAGCATCGGGCAATTTTTCCTTGCTCCAAACACACATTTAGTTAAGTTCTTTAGAGGGGGAAATAAAGGGTGTATAAACCCAACTAATATTTGCTCCACAAAAGCGTTATTGTGTAATAAGTAATCCTGTGCTAGTTTCTTTTTTTAAATTGTGGTTTGTGAGTCAGCGGTATGCTACAAAAAAAGCCTTATTATTTCAGAACTCAATGAGAGCGACAGTTGAACTATATGAAGACAGAAAAGAAGCCTACCCCTCTGTTAAAACCCTCGTTACTCTGGGTAAAGAAGACTTGTCCATTAAGGTAACTACCTGCTTTGTTTGCACACGTTATCAGTTGATTTAATAGTACCCAGACCCTGAGGAATCTGAGGGAAGAGAAGAAGATGGACCCTGAATGTCTTATTTTTATGTACCACGTTAGATCTTTAGCTTGTTGCCTCATTTAAACTTAGCAGAAGCCCATTTTTCAGGGAGCTGTACCAGACCCCCCCCCGGCCCAAGTCTGTGGGATCCTAGCGGCCGTCCCTGCCTCCTTTGTTCTAGTTTGTTCGCAGTGGAGCTGTATTTCCCTGGGGATTCAAAGCCCTCGTATCTTTTAGAGTTAGTTACCTGGTATGTACTGTAATGAACTTCTTCCTCGTACTAAGTATAGATTGACTGTTTTTAAAAAACCATTTTGTACATTACAGATAAGTGACCTAGGTGGTGGTGTCCCACTTCGAAAAATAGACCGCCTTTTTAACTACATGTATTCAACTGCTCCTAGACCCAGCCTGGAGCCTACGAGAGCTGCCCCTCTGGTAAGCATCTTAAAGTGCTGCTTAGGGGAAGACCATTAACCTGAGAAGGGACTCCAGCAGAGCGGCCTTTCTCCTGGCTCCTTACCCTAGCCTCTCTGAATCTGAATGTTTCCGGCATGATTTGGAGGAAGGGAGATTTTATCCCACTGCTACTTTCTTTGTCAATCCTTTGGACTTAGACTTCTTTTCTAATTTTGTCTAAGAAACACTCAGAGCTGAGTACCTCACTTCCTATTGTAGAGAAAAGGCACCTCCCTTTGGTTAAGGACTGCTGCGGGGGCACCACTCCCCGCCGGGTGCTCTATCAGAGGGAATGGAAGGTTAAGAGCCGCCCGCCCGGAGCAAAGGAGCCTCACAGGGCTGCTGCGTGGTCCTGGGCACCTCACTTGGGCACCACGTGCTGTGGGAGCCCCAAATCACCCGGGGCCTTTAACTTCCCCCACCAAATCTGTTTATATAATTAGAATGTTCAAGTATGAATACAATAAATTTTGTATAGTAAACAGCATAAGTAGGAAACATATAGGTGGCGTATGCATTTTCGGAGCCCTTTCTGTCTAGGCTTTATGAGGCAGTGAGAAAAGCCTCAGGTTACCATGGCAGCATTTAGATCCTGCTAGGGCCACACTTTGTTCCCCTGCTGAGTGTTTCTAATTGACAAACAACAATTGAACCCTTTGTCATTAAACACAGCAACATAGCTATCAGTCTGCAGAACAGTTGAGGGTACAAATTAAGTTTCATTTTTCAAGTTCTACCTGACTGATAAGCATGTGAGATTATATTTTATTGTATGAATAAAATCCAACACTTTGCATCATTTATTCGAGACAGAGTTTGTTAACTTGGCATGTTGAAAACAGAGAGGAAGTCATGCTTACAGGAGTCAAGAAAATTCTCGAAAGATCAATTTTGAAAGGGGTTGCCTTTACCAGGTACCTACTTAAGTAAATGTCAAAAGAAAAAGCACTACAAGCAAATCCCCAATTGTTTATAAGGAATATGGATCCTCTATTCCAGGTCTCAAGAGAGCAGCTTGAGGACAGCTGTTCTGTCATCTTTTTTAAAAAATGGAACTGAATTGACGTAAGAGACCTTAAAATATTATGTATCCAACCTCCCATTTTATAGACGAGAAAATAAGGCTAGTGCCTTGCCCAAGGTCGTTGTACTCATTAGGGCACAGCTGGCACTGGTTGCGTCAGCATTCTTTCCCGTGTCCCATACAGCCTCTCCTTTTGAAGAAAGGTTTCCACTAGCTTCTGTCCCAGTTATCAACTGTATACATCCCCAAATCCTGTCAGATTCTTTGACACCCAGAGAAAACCTGGATGAACCTCACTCAGTCTAGGTTAGAGACTCCTCTTCTGTGTTCTCATGGCTTACCTGCTCCTCACACCCACGACAGGATTGGAATCAGGCATTCTCGGCTGTTCCCTGGTAGACCTGAGGGCAGGTTCTGGGCCTTGCTGCAATGTAGGAGACAGATTTCCTTGGCCTCTTCCTGGAATATTCTGGTTTCTTTGCTATGGTGACCACATTCATCGTCATGGATATCTTGTCCTCACCACCAGCCTTATCCTGTCAGTGCAGAAGCCCTGGAATGACAGTGCGCGCCGTCATACCCAACCCTTTGAGTTAGGCCCTGCCCTGAGGGAGGAATGTAGGAAAGATGTTCGCAAACAGTAGAAATCCATGTAAGCTGGTAAAATCGTGGCTCTGCGGTAGCCATAATGGCAGCTTCCGTTTATTTACTTTTACTAGGTCTCAGGCACTGTGTCAAGACTTGACAGTTGTTAGGTTATGTAATCCTCAGAGCAGCTCCGAGGGAAGCTTTTCATTACATCTTCAGATGACAGAGCAATCTCAGAGAGGTTAGGTAAACTGCTCAGAGTGGATTTCTCCTTATGTCTCTCTGAGCCTAAAGCCCATGTAACCTCTGCTCTAACAAGCGCATTACCCCACTGCCTCCTTGTCGGGGGATTTCATCAGAAGGGCCAAAGCTTGTGGCGTTGAACCTGCCCCTCCAGTCTAGACTTGCTGAGATAGTATCCTTTGTTCTTATTGTTCCTGTCAATGTCTGAGACTTTTCTGTTTGCAACAACCTGTTACATTCAGGGTTCTATGACATGAAAATGTAAGAGGGCACTGGAATTGTTTTCTCAAAACGAGATACATGGGACCTACCGTATAGCAAAATATTTCAGCATTCCCAGAACTTTAGGAAGTAGAGTCTCAGGAAATTGTCTTTTTAGTGTATTAGCCTGGGTACCAGTAGATTGGAACTCTTGTGCTACTCATTTAATTTTCACTTCAGAGAACAAGAAAATCTGATAATGGATCTTTGCGATGATGTGGTTTAGTTTTGTTAACAGTTCAAATTCCACTTGATTTGGAATTTGCTTTCAAAATGCTAACAGTTCACTTAAAAATGCTAAAAAAAAGTAGTCAAAACTTGGAGTATTTCTAATATTTTCCAAACATAAGAGAAGTGTTTTTGCAGGTTGAAAATGACTGTTTGCCATAAAATGAGTATACACATCATTGTAAAGGTTGGATCAGTAATTTCCTTGCTTTAAACCTGACTTAAGAATTTCTTTTAATCGGGGCGCCTGGGTGGCTTAGGCAGTTGGGCATCCAACTCTTGATTTTTGGCTCAGGTCATGATCTCAGGGTCCTGGGATCAGGCCCTGTATCAGGCTCCCCACTCAGGGGAGTCTGCTGAAGGATTCTCTCTCCCCCTCTCCTGTTCATGCTCTCTCTTGCTCTCATTCCCTAAATAAATAATTTTTTTTAAATATATTTTTTAAAGATTTTATTTATTTATTTGACAGAGGTCACAAGTAGGCAGAGGCAGGCAGAGAGAGAGAGGAGGAAGTAGGCTCCCTGCTGAGCAGAGAGCCCGATGTGGGGCTCGATCCCAGGACCCTGGGATCATGACCTGAGCCGAAGGCAGAGGCTTTAACCCACTGAGCCACCCAGGCGCCCCAATAAATAAATTCTTTAAAGAGAATTTCTTTTACTCTTCTGAGTAGTCCTCATACCAAGTATGTTAGCATTTGTGCACGTCTCACTGTATTATTTTTCTTTTCTCTATAGGCTGGATTTGGTTATGGCTTGCCAATTTCTCGTCTGTATGCTAGATATTTCCAAGGAGATCTAAAACTCTATTCAATGGAAGGAGTTGGCACTGACGCTGTCATTTATTTAAAGGTACTGCACTTTATTAGTAATATGAAGGCATCTTTACTTTTGAAAGCTTTAGGTTCTAATAACCAATGGAAAATAACACTACATCATCTCTTACATTCATTTCAGATATACTTCAGTTTTATGGGAAAACCGGGGTGTGTCCTGCCCTTGATTTTATGCACAGATATAGTAAAATATGGAACATGGAGAAGGAAAAGCTAAAATACTGATTTTTAAAGCCATGATTCTTACTTGCGATTTCTTTTAAATTGCATAAGCATTGAAAGGGCTAATCTAAAAGGAGACAGATTTTCATAAACTGAAGTGTTTTAGTCTTACTTTAGAACTCACTGGCTTTCCTAGAATTCAGTAATCATAGTATGGTGATATAAATAGGCTGATGTAATAAGAAAGCTTCTGTAACACAAGTTTTCTCATGCATTGGTGGCATCAGACTTTTGTTTATTTCTAAACTCTGGAATATTTGGAAGATTTTTTAAGTAGTTAATACAGGCACGTAGTACAGAATTGAGAAGCTACAAAGGGGAGAACTTAAGGCTTTCCCTCCTCTGTCTCTAAGCCACTTGCTTCTCTTTCCCTGAGGCTACCACAGTACCAGTTTCTCATGGAGCGTCTTGGAGTTGATTCTGCATTGATACACAGATGGGGAAAAATAATTTTTTTCCCATATAATGATTATTTCAGCATTTTTCCCTTTTTTTTTTTTTAGCTTTCCTGTATAGCTTGGAAATCTTGCTATATCCATTCATACAGAGCTGCTCATTCTCTTTAACAGCCGTGTAGTGTGATACATGTTGTATGTAACGTGTTATACCATTACTTAGTACATCTAAATGATGTGCTATTTGATACCACCTTATGGGCGTATGTTTATAAACTTCATATGTATGAAACTTTATATACGTAGGGGCCTTCCGTATGGGCCCTCAGGGAAAGCGATTGGTCAGTGACTAGTGCTTGGCCTAAGACCATAGAGTCAAGATGATTGAGTATCTCAAAGCATTATTAACTGAATTAAGATGCTTTTTCTTCTGGTTGCTTTGTGTACTTTACTACTGGTTTTGAATGAGTGAGAGTTTTTATTCCTTTAAAGGAGCTTTAATTTCATCCCAGCCAGTCTAAGTAAACTATGAAAATGTAATTTCAATATAATTCCAAAAATCTACATTAAGGTTTCTCGTGTTTTAATAGTAAAATTTGGGTTAGTATTTCACGTGAGAAAAGTGACATGTGGTCCTCTGGTGTATGTTTTTGTCTCTTAGGCACTTTCCAGTGAATCATTTGAGAGACTTCCTGTTTTCAATAAGTCCGCGTGGCGTCATTACAAGACCACTCCCGAAGCTGATGACTGGAGCAATCCCAGCAGAGAACCGAGGGACGCCTCAAAATACAAGGCGAAACAGTAATTTCCCACTTTGCTTTCTATTATAAAGTATCTGATGATTCCCTAGAATGTACCAGCCAGATGATCCCTTTAGCCAGATCTTCTCTGTGGCTTTTTCACTGGAAGAGCAAAGTGATCTCTAAAGGAAGGAAGGACGGCGAGAACCGGGTAGCCAGAGTAGCCCTTCCACTGGAGGTATGAACAGCAGGGAGCAAGTTTATCCTGCTGTAGATTGGATTTTCAAAGTAAGTTTTGGGATTTGTCATCACCTATGATGACAGAAGGACATTTGACAGGAGGGCATTTAGGGAAGGTCTGTGGGTGGGTTGAATCTGAAAATAAAGAAGTGAAAATGATCAGTCCAGATAAACAAGGTGTGGTTTATCCATGCAACGGAAAAGGACACATACTCTATGATTCCACTTACGTGAGGTACCTGGCAAAGTTAGATGCTTAGGGACAGAAGGTAGAATGGTTGCCGAGAGCAGGGAGAATGAGGCGTTAGTGTTTAATGGGTGCAGAGTTTCCGTTGGGAAGATGACAAGGTTCTGGAGGTGGGGGGCGGGGGTTGCCCAACACTGAATGTACTTAATGCTACTGAACTGTTCGCTTAAAAACAGCCATTCTTTACCCTCTTACCAGATAGCAAATGTTATGTGTGGTTTCCCACAGTAAATAAAGGAAAACAGAAAAAAGAAAACTAATCACAGAACAACAGGTTTCACTGCTTTATGGTAGTAAGGGCAACAATCCCACCTTCAATTTCCAATTATTTTTTTCTCCTGACTGTTATTAGGCTCCAGCTCTGCTGGCAACAGTAACAGCTCTGTTTATTTAAAATAACCTTTTGTTAACAGAACAGCGCTATACATGCGTTGTAAAAAATTAGAAAATGTAAGTAAGCAAAAAAAGGAAAGAGAAAGCACCGTATTCCCACAACCCAGAGATTACCACTCTTATGACTTTCTGTATTTGCTATGTACACATACTTTGCTATATATATATATATATATATTTATATATATATATATTGTATATGTATATATTTTCTCCCAAATGAGATCTAATTATTTATAATCTTCTACAACCTGGCTTTATTTCATTTAACCATTTTCACCTTTCCAGGTCAGTAAATTTTCATCTTGAGAATTTCCCTGAATTGCCCAAACCTGGATCAGTTCTTAGATTGTATAACAATCTGAGTAGATTTCAAGTTGTTTTAAATCTAGAACAATATTTTTGTTGGTGACGAGAGACCATCCTAGTTGTCCTGCAAAAGTATCCAACCTGGATATTTTTGGCTTCTTCTTCGACGTGTCATTTAGCCTTTCCCCTATTTTTTGTATTTCCTATAAACTGCAAGTTCATCTAAAGATTCAAGGGAGCATTTTTTGTTGTTGTTGTTCAGAGTACCTCATAAGCACTATTTCAGAATTATACTGTGAGACCCATGATATCTGACTGATCCCTCCATAGTATAGTTGTTTTTTCCTTTCTCAACCAGAAAGTCATCTGGGGACTCCTGGGTGGCTCAGTCAGTTAAGCGGCCAACTCTTGATTTTGGTTCAGGTCGTGGTCTCAGGGTTCTGGGATTGAACCCCACGGTGGGCTCCCTACTCAGTGGACAGTCTGCTTGAGGATTCGCCCTCTCCCTCTACCCCTCCCCCCAGCTCATGCATATACACTCTCCCTTTCAAATAAATAAATCTTTTTTTAAAAAGGAAAATGTAATTATGGCCTGAATCAATAATTTTATTAATGTTTATGAGTTATTTTTGTGAGTTACTTTTAATACCATTCCTTTGATGTTTATTAGCTGACATTCTCCCATGAAGTTCTTCCTCATCAACACAGGCCATTTAAGTACCTTTTTTTTTTTTTTTAGATTTTATTTATTTGTTTTAGAGAGAGAGAGAGAGAGAGAGTACAAGCAGAGGGAGGGGCAGAGGGAGAGACAGAATCCCAGGCCGACTCCACGCTGAGTGGAGAGCCCAACGTAGGGCTCAATCCCAGGACCCTGAGATCGTGACCTGAGCCAAAACCAGGAGTTGGATGCTCAACTGACTGAGCCACCCAGGCACCCCCATTTAGGTCCCTTTTGAAGTACAGCTCCCCCTGACAAAGCAGGATAAGAGTTTAAATCTTTCCCTTTAACTAGCAATTTTGAAGGTAAGAAGTAGAGGTAAAATCCATCTTAAATGGTAACAAATGAGTTTTTGGCTTTCACTTTTTCGAGCATTATTATGGATAGTGTAGAATTTCCTTCAATACGTTTCAATTAGAACTACACACACACACACATAAAGTGCTCAAGTCTTAAGTTTATAGCCTGACACATTTTTACATCTATATTTCTAGCACCTTTGTAATCAGACACTTCCCCCTTTACCATCCCCACCATGTAGCCATTATTCTGACTCGGTCACCCATTCTTATAACTGACTCTATCACTTGTTAAACTTAAAAGGAACATGTGGCATGTACTCGTTTTTGTGTCCAGATCTCTGTGAGGTCCATCCGTGTTACTGCATGTAGCAGTTATCTTTCTGATGATTAAATTAGCACACCTTTGGCCACTGGTGACTATTTTGAGTCAGATCCTCGGTGTTCCTTTGCTAAAACTTTGAAAGCTTTTTCTGGCCCAAGATGATATTACAGTCTCATCTTCTACCTTCCCTGCCTCCATCCTAGAATCCACCATTTCCCTCAAGGAGTCCTGTTTGCCTTTAACAGGTGTTAGAGACCTTAATCTGGAAGTTGGCGGTGAACATTATGCCTTGTCTAGTCCGCTTTTCTGGACAGAACTGTACAATGCATATTTTTAAACCATAAGTTTGTGTTGATATTTTCAATTTGACTTTAACATTGCAATATCCCAGCCCAATGTATTATAATTGAGCACACCTCTTCTTAATCTTGATTCTTAACATAACGCAACAGAAAGGTTTTGTATGCAAATGCAGTTGATACAGCTTTCGATTTTGCCCCATTATAGTAGCATTGGTCTTTTCTGATGAATGCCATAAAGGGTATCCCTACTGATTTTTGTCTCTATGGAAGTATTGGGATGGACCTCTGTACAGTATTGCTGGAGCAGTCATTCATCTCAAACATGAAACATAGAGGAGTTTGGCTTGTGCACGTGAGTGCAAGCGGACACGTGGCTGTGCATGCAGACATACACACACCATCTCTGGCCAAGATTGAGCTAAACCAGCTTGAAACAATTGGATCCATTTCCCTTGATTTCATTTTCAGTCTCTGTATCCGGCAGGTGACACGTTGGGCATCACTGTGACTGACGAATGCAGGCTATTGCTCTGCTAGAGGGAGTTGTTTGGGTAGTACAGAAGCAGTCTTTATAAATAATATGGTTCATTTGGACTGTAAAAAGCTGGCTTTAATTGAGTCTTGTTTTATTTTTATTTTTATTTAAAAAAATTTTTTTTTAAGAATTTATTTATTCATTTGACAGAGATCACAAGTAGGCAGAGAGGCAGGCAGAGAGAGAGAGAGAGAGAGGAGGAAGCAGGCTCCCTGCCGAGCAGAGAGCCCGATGCGGGACTCGATCCCAGGACCCTGAGATCATGACCTGAGCCGAAGGCAGAGGCTTAACACACTGAGCCACCCAGGCGCCCTTGAGTCTTGTTTTAAATGCCATTTTAAAACTCTAAATAGTTTAGCGGGTTGTATACTAATTACGAGTCTTGATTTCTAATATAGTATTAGGTAGACAAGTTTTAGCAGAAAGCAATATTTAAAATTGGAAAACGGTTAGCCTGATGATTAAAATTGTTAAATTATACAAATAGGGTAATTGGTGGTGATCTTGGGCAAATATTTAGTGTAGCTATGGTAAACTCACGAGGTGAATGAGAAATGCTACAAAAATGTATTTTCTAATCAGATTTTTCTTTTTCTTTTTTGGGGGGCTTTTTAAGTTTTTATTTTACTTTATTATTTTTTTTTAAAGATTTTATTTATTTATTTGACAGACAGAGATCACAAGTAGGCAGAGAGGCAGGCAGAGAGAGAGGAAGGGAAGCAGGCTCCCTGCTGAGCAGAGAGCCCGATGCGGGGCTCGATCCCAGGACCCTGAGATCATGACCTGAGCCAAAGGCAGCGGCTTAACCCACTGAGCCACCCAGGCGCCCTAAGTTTTTATTTTAATTCCATTTAGTTAATGTGCTGTGTGATATTAGTTTCAAGAGTACAACATAGTGATTCAGCACTTCCACACATCGCCTGGTACTCATCATAATCTAATGATATTTTTAATAACAGCTTTATTGAGATATAATTCACATACCCCATAAATTCACCCCCTTAAAATGTACACTTCTAGTGTCTTCACAGAGTGTGGGACCCTCACCACTGTCTAATTTTAGAACGTTTGTACCATCTCAGAAAGAAATCTTGTACCCATTAGCACTCATTCCTCATTTCTAATCAGGTTTTTAACTGAGAGTAAAGAACTGTTTTGAGGTATGTATAGGGGGGCGCCTGGGTGGCTCAGTCAGTGAAGCGTGAAGTGTCTGCCTTCTGCTCAGATCATGATCCCAGTGTCCTGGGATCGAGCCCCGCATCCCTCTCCCCCTGCTCCTCCCCCCTACTTGTGCTCTCTCTTGCTGTCTCTCTCTCTTAAATAAATAAAAATTTTTTTAAAAGTACATATAAGTAATAAATGGTATTTCTTTTTCTGTAATAACCACAGAGAATAATTCTGAGAAGACAAAGCTTTTTTTTTAAGATTTTATTTATTTATTTGACAGAGAGAGAGATCACAAGTAGGTAGAGAGAGGGGAAAGCAGCTCCCTGCTGAGCAGAGAGCCCAATGTGGAGCTCAATCCCAGGACCCTGGGATCATGACCTGAGCCAAAGGCAGAGACTCAACCCACTGAGCCACCCAGGCACCCAAGGCAAAGCTTTTTGAACTATCACTATAACTAAATGCTCTGAGTAAATCTTGGTTAAATAGAGAAGGTTGTACTCCAACTCACTGGCTATTCCTGTTGTTTTCTTTTTAGGGACAAGATCAAGACTAATAGAACTTTCTAGAGAACTGAATGCTCATATCCTCTCTGAGAAGAAAGATTACCTTCTGCAAGTCAACCAGAGAGAACTCCTTTCCTCCACCAACTCTGAGCAAGGCACTATAGTTACTCCAGTGCTTGAATGTGTAATTTCTCTATATGATCTGGACCTTTTCCACAAAAACCTTCCTGTAGCTGCTCCAGATCCGCACTAAAGTAGTAACCTGAACAATTTTTCCTAGTGCATTGTTGTGGTTTGGTTGGCGCCTGTCGTAAGAGAGCTCAGGGCCTCGTTAGCGCTCTGGTGCCCTCATACCTTCCTCCTCCTTGTCATAGAGTCGAATGTCTACACTCTCCCCAGGATTCTAAGCTTCTTCCTCATTCCAGATACAGCCAGTTTCTGCTGTTGCTCTTTGTGACCAAACACCATGGTTTTCCAAAACACCAACTAAGGCCTGGGTGATCTGGAAGCTGAAGACGCCAGCGGAGTGTGTCTTGGTAATTCCGTCCTGGGGCCCTTCCTCTCCCATATGCGTCCTTTCTCACTCTGTGATTTCAGCTTTTGCCTTCTTCCATCCGATCTGAGTGAGGTGCGGCTCCTTTCACCATAGCTCTTACTCTCTGATACATTGATTTTATTTTAAAATTCATTTGTGTACTTCCATTCTGTCAATTAAAGCGTTCCAAAAGTTGTCTTGGGATTTTTCACTTAACCACTTGGTTTCAGAGATCTTAAGTGAAAAACTACCTTCCAGTCATTATTGAGTTTGTGAAAGTGGGACGTGGAGTTTTTATGCTATGTAAAAATGTTGCCAGTCTACTTATTTTATTCTGTTCCTTTGTCGTTTTCTGAGGAATTGCAAGTCTCTGTGTGATGCACGTTAGTCATCGTAAAATCGGCTATTGAAGGGAAAAGGTCTTCCTTGTCGATTTTGAAAAATAATTTTCATTTTTGTGAGTTCTTGGCCAGTTTTAGAACTGTCGATCTGATTTTCATACTCCTTTGCTTTTTTGCTGAAAGTCAGGCTGGGCAGAGGCCTTGGGGTGAGGAAAGAGAAGCGAGGTTGTGTTGACCCCTCAGCAACGGAAGCCGTCCAAGACTCTGGATTAAAGGCACAATTTATACTGCTCCACAGGATGTGTTTCCCTTCACTGTCATTTTTCATATCATCGACTTTGGTTTCTGCCTTCTCTTGACGCCCATATAAATGCATCCATCCAATTTTTTAAGTGTGGAGCACGCTGTTGGGAAAGTTGTGCTTTGTAAAGTATTCCCCTCCTTCAGTGCCTGGCGGGTCGGGGCGGTCGCCCCACCTGGGGTCCCCGCGGGGGGCCTTCCCGGGAGGAGTTGTGCTCTGACCAGCAGCACATGGGCCAGCGGCAGCTGTTTCTCCTCATTCCCCTGAGTCTGATTTTGTTTCATTTCATTATGTTACCTGAGCTCGTGGTCATTCCCTTCATCTTTAGAAAGGTCCCATCTCTTCCATCCTCAGAAGGATCCCGTCAGAGAACTCATCTAATCCATCAAAGAAGAGAAAGACAGATGGACTCAGAGAGAGGGGACGGGATGTCCACATGGAAGCCTGCGGGCTGGAGGACTGAGTCAGTGTCTTGGGGATGGGGCTGTCTCATAGGATTGATTCCTTGTGTAAATGATGTGAAAGTAATGACCCTTTCCATTTGAAGTCGCTGGCTTTCTTACCAACGTTGGATAGTATGTCATTATCTTACTAGGCTTCCATTCCTAAACACACACCTTTATACTTTCAGTAGGAAACAGCGTAGCGGGAGGGAGGTCACAAATTCAGGCCTGCTCCCTCCTGCTACGCCCCCCCCCCCGCACCTGTTAGCCACCCCCCGCACCCCAAGCTCCGTGTAAGGCTTGAAGAAAGGAAGGAAGGGGTGGGAAAATCCTATCACATTCTTCCCTTCACAGGTCTTTTTCAAAAGTAAAGGCTTCTTTCAGTGTTTTCATGACTTCATTAGTAGTCCTTTCACTAGTGGACTCTGCGGCTCACTCCTACCCAGCTGGCCCCAGTAGTCTTGGCGTTCCTGTCTGCTTTCTGCATTAAGAGTTGAACTCTGCTCCCAGAGCAACCGTAAGAAGAGTTGCGGGAACATCTTGTGTTCTCACAGCTTAGTGGCCCACGCATTTGTTTCTTCTCTTGTTGCCTGTATGTGCTTCTCTGAACCCAGGTGCGTCCCTCTGGCTGTTTACTCGGGTTGTGGAAACAAATGGTCAAATTACTACGTAGAGTTGGTAAAGTAAATAGACATCGACCCTTTTTCAGCTAAATTCAATCAGTTCTCCCATTTCCTCTGTGTTTCCCTCTCATTTACTCAATTTTTAGTATTAGGGGACTGCAGCAACTGTTTGAACTAGTTCCTGGCACATAGTAGAGGCTTAATAAATAGTAGTTGAATCAAGAAATGAAAACTGCCATTTACCTTGGGCGGGGGGCCATGTTTCCACATTCTTCAAGTATTTTTCTTTCCAAAGTAGAAACATTTCAAGTCAGGAGCTGTGGAAATACTGAATCTCCTGTTAACAGGGCTGAAAAATGACTTCAAGATGTAGAGAAGGGGAAGGAAAGAAGTAAGGATGGACCCACAGGAACCGTCTGGTTTTTTTTTTGTTTTGTTTTTGTTTTTGTCTTTTGGGTCTCTGAGTATCTGATTTTGGTTCTTTAGTACACTGGGTTCTTTCCATCCAGTCAAGTGAGATGATTTTACAGCCTCGCTTAGAAGTTCCAAAGAGCGTTCACAGAAAGCCTCCTGTCTGATCCTCAGTGTGCTGTGAGGTGGGCCATGCGAGTGTGGCCTCTGACCCTCACATGCGTTCCAAAGCAGTTCTTCGCTTTGCTGGGGTGAATGGAAGGACCCAAGTGAATAGTTGGGTCGTCTTGTTCCTAGACCTGTGCTCTCAGTGGTGCAGCGGGTAACCAGCATCATTGCTTTTGAGGAATTTCTTGGGTATATTAACCCTCAAGGGTAAGATATAAGCCAAAATGTGTCTATAGGGCAAGAGAACTGCATTCAGGAGAGGTTTTCTTTTGTGTGTTTTCATTTTGGCATAGTTAGAGGAGATAATCAAATGGATTTGGCAGCTTTTACCTAGAAAGACAGGCAACTTAGAGGGGTATAGCTGTAGGTAATTACTAGAGTTATTTAGACTTAATTCTATGTTTCATTTAACTCCATGTTCACTGCCAGCCCTTTCCTACAAAGACTCCACTTTCAGTCTTTGCTTTTATCCTTCAGTGGCCTGGATTACAGCTCTGGTTGGATTTTCTTCCATATTTACAAACACGCTACTCTTGCCATTCCTTATGAACAGTAACTGGGCTGCTTCTCAAGGTTCTTGTCTCACATCCTTTTCCCCTCGATCCCGTGGACGCCTCACTTTATTATCTTCTAGCGTCTGGTGGTCCTGAGAAGCCTCAGTCCGGACAGGTTGTTCTTCACCGTTCGTAGATGACCTGCTTATTTGTACTGCATACTTGGGGCCTCTTGTTTATCCTCAAAGTTCATGACTTTGTTCAAGTCTGTGTCAGGACTGACAGTTGTCTGTTGGCTTTTTCTGGTCCACGATGAGTGGTGCGCATTGCGTTCGGGCCTCACTGCGGGTCCTATAAGTTTGTTCTCTTCTTCAGAACTTTGTCCCTGTCTTGGTTCTGTGTCAGCCTGGCCTTCACATTCTCTTCCCTTTGGTTGCTTTCATCCCCTTGTCTTTCTTGTTGCTGTGAATTTTTTTCCATCGGGTCTGACACTCCCGTGTCACTCACTCAGGGCTCCGAAGTGTGAATGGTAGGCCTAGCTGTTCATAGTGTGAGTTTCACTTCTGTTACAGTTTTGTTTTTGATCTCTTTCTTTTCTTAGCTCTGCCAGCTTTTTTCTTTCATTATGTTGTCCTGTCTGACTCTTTGTTTCATTTCTTGGAAGGCTGAACTGTGTTGTCTACAATTTTTCCGGTTTCTGAAATCATTGTTTCTAGGGCCTACTTAGTTTGTCTTAGGCTTCCTTCCTTCCTTTCCTCTTGGTGGTTTTGCTCTTCTATTGTTGTACAAGTATCATGATGGGTTTTTCTGCTTATTATTTGTCTTTGCATGGAACCAGTCCTAGCTGCCCAAGAAGAGTGCAGGGAAACTCCTCGACTCCTCTTTTCTCAAGTGAGAAGCATTTGAATGGTCGCCTTAGGACTTAAACGGTATTGCTGGGTTGTAAGGGTGAAGGCTGTTGTGTTTCAGTTGGGTACCTGGGTATAGGGGCATGAGGAGTGAAACAAAGCCTCCTTGGGGTATTTTGTCTTCCGAGTGCCTTCTGTGGGTGCTGCCGGGTTCTCTGCCCTGGGGCGGCAGGCCGGGTCTACCTGCGGGGGGGGGGGGGGGGGGGGGGCGGGTGTGTGTGTGGATATCCTGCTTGACTTTCCCCCACTTCCACTAGGGGTCGCCCTAGCAGGAGTCTGGAGGCTTTGTATCTGGATTTGTGTGGTTGCCCCCCACCCCACCCCCCAGGTTCTCTTTATCTCCTGCACGCACAGATGCAGCACCCAATGTCTCACCCTCCCCTCCCAGGTGTGGTTGTGGAAATGAGCCCGCACAGCGTGCACAGGGCTTCTCCGGACTGCCGCCGGTCCTCGTTTCTCCAGGTTAACAGATGATTGGTCCAGTTCTTTGGCAACCTCTCCTGAACTGCCCAGCAACTGTGGTCAAATGCGAGAATGCTCCTCTGATTAGTCTCCCACTTCGTTGTATCTGTCAGACACTCCCCCTGGAGTCCTTGGTATGGGGTGGTGGCTTTTATTAGTTTCATAATGGACAGCTTCTTTTTCAGTTTTTGGATGTGTGTGTTGAGGGGCAGGAGCACTTATATAAACATGCATTTATTCTGCCATCTTTCCCCGGGGTCCAGGTGCATAAACATTGATTTTGAAGATAATGTCCTTCATGGTCATAATCTGTATGAAAGTAAACAGAAGAAACCAGTGTCGCTAGCAGGAAAAAACCATTAATAACTTAATCAATACAGGATTTTTGTTTGTTGTTCTGTGTGGAAAGATAACTTTTAACTCAGGTTCCTGTTCCATTGATTAGCGGTATCAGTACCTTCTGCTTTGAAAATAGAGGACGTGGTAATGAACTTAAGAAGTTATCAGCCACTGACAATTATTAATTAGTTAATTAAATATGATAGAGTATTTCAAACTAGCACCTAATCAGAGTTATCAACAGAAGTAGAAGCTATTTTCAATTAACAGGTTGCTAGTCCAGCTGTCTTACGGAGGGCATTGACCCTGGTGAGAACTTGGCTGTGACGCAGGTTTTCTTACCAGTCTTTTCATTTCAGCCCATTTGAAAATTTGGTTCATTGAGAAAGAGAGGAATGCAGTCCTCATCAGGATTATTTTCGTTATTCCCGAATATACTGTGAGATGGTGCATAGGTCTGGGGCCTACTCTAGAGGCACATGAATTAATATTCCCGAAGTGCATTTACAGGTGGACGTTGGGGTGGGGGTTTCGTGGGGCCGTTTGTAGGGTTGAAGTGTCCTTTCCTCAGCAGCCAGCATATTCCACCAGGCGGACTTTCCTCACCTTCAGAGGCCAGCGTAACGATCAGGGAGCATGAGTGACAGCCTCACTCTAGGTACCACACTCCACCTCGCAGCGCCTTCCTTCCCCAGAAGTCAGGGT